CACTCGGCTAATTTTGGTATTTTTTAGTGAAGATGGGTTTTACCATGTTGGCCAGGCTGGTCTCAAACTCCTGATCTCAAGTTATGCACTTGCCTTTACCTCCCAAATTGCTGAGATTATAGGCCTGAGCCACTGAACCTGGCCAAATCCTTTAAATTTTCTGAGGTGGCTATTATTATTCCCCATTTTATGCAGGAAAAAATAGAAATCAAAACTTAATACATTTGTCAAGGTGCACAGAGTTTGTAATAAGGAAGCACCAATTCAAACCTAGGTCTGACTCCTTCCAGCACACATATATGTCTCCTTTACATCTTTTCCCAAATTTTGTCTTCTTTTCTGAGTGAAACCTACTAAAATGAGTCTTAAAGTCAGCCTTTGTTGCCAAAATACTTGACGGTGCATTGGTTATTTATTTTTACCCATTCTGGGTAGAAATCAGGGTTCTCTTTTCCTAATGGAAACCCCAGGACAGCTTACATTTGGATGTCATATGCCCATTTGACTTTTAACCAAAACACTACCTTTTCACACAGTGACCCATCATCTTCTCAAAGGTGGGCGGCAGTGGTGAGAGACGATGAAAGTCATCTCAGAGGCACAAACAGCATTTTTGAACTGACACAAGTCTATCTGGTGTTTTGTACCTGTTAGATTTGGTGGCCTCTGTGATTGAGAGGAAGGGGAGGGCCATAAGTTCTCTCCTCCTGAATCTCACCGCCAGGTAGTTTGTTGAAACAAAAGCAGAGCCCAAACTTAATTCTGTCACACATCAAACACTGACACGAGTCAGTGTTTGATGCAGTCATAAAACCTGTCTCATAAACTGGGGGAAGTCCTAGCTCTCCATCCTTAAGGCATGTTGACAAGACCTTGCAGGAGAGATTTACTCAGGACAGCAATCTGCAAAAAGATCAGCTCCAGGGGACCAAGAAGCCTTCTTGGCAGGCTGTAAATATTCTATTTTTTGATCCAGCTGATGATTATATGAGTACTTGCCAGTGTAACATTCTGTATATGTACTTAAGATTTGTGTACTTCAGTATATCTGTCATTTCTCGGTAAAAAAATAAGGTGTAAATAAATGACCACCTTAAGTTATTCATAGTCTGTGAGTTGGGTAATTATTATATATTGTTCGAGCCCACAAACCTTTTGAATTAGAGGTTTTCCATGGAAGGATCTCCAGGTGGAGTGAAAGTACTCAGGGCCTCCTGCTGAGGCCTCCTCTCTGCTGACCCCAGCCCATCCCCATGGTGTCCCCTAGAGTGGACACAGTAGTTGCCTCCATCCAAGTGACCATCTTGGCACCTGGGATATCTTAGTCTTGGGCTACTGTTGCCTTCATTCTTTATTCTTCCCTGTTTTAAGTAGAGTCATACATTGCTTAAGATGGGAGACATTGTGAGAAATGTGACATTAGGTAATTTCATTGTTATTGTGGGAACATCATAGAGTGCAGCTAGCAAAGCTGGATAGCAGAGCCTACTACACACCCAGACTATGTGGTACGGCCTGCTGCTCCCAGGCTACAAACCTGTATAGCATGATACTGTCCTGAATACTGTAGGCAGCTGTAACACAGTGCAAGGATTTGTGTATCTAAACATAGAAAAAGTACAGTGAAAATACAGATTTATGGTCTTATAGGAACACTAGTGTATAGGTGGGCTGTCACTGACCAAAACACCATGATGTGGCATGTGACTATATACCCTTCTTTTGGAATTTGACTTCTTTCACTTTTTAGGCTGCTTTTTGTGGTTTTAACCAAATGCCTGATGAGGCTAGGCAGGAAGGTTCTGGGGGATGAAACAGATTTATTTCCCTGGGCAACAATCCCAGACTCCACTGTGGGGCTGGGCATGGGAGGAGCTGTGGGTCCCCTTCTCTTTCTTTCCTAGAAGGGGAAAGGCAGGGGTAGGGGTCGCCAGGGGTCGTGCTGGAAGAGGCCTTAGCTCTAAGTGTCAACTTTGATAGCTATTGGATGTGGCCTGCTAAGCCCTGGCTGTTGCCTCCCAAGTGAAATTCCACAGAGCGAAGAGATAAGGGTGACTCTGTATCAGCTGCCTCTAGGACAGGGTTGTGATATTTCTGCTTTGTCGGTTTTAGAATTCCTATGACTTTCATTTATAGCCCATGTTTCTCTCCATTTACATTGCACACACCCCCGTCTCATCCCAGACTCTTGTTCGACAGAACCTCAGCCTTGAAGAAGAAACAAAAGCAAAACTTGCATACACAAACAAATCCACTGTGGAATCTGTTGCCGTACCATGGCTGCCCCCTCTCCACCCTAAGCACAGACACACACTGCATCACTTGGGGCTCCCGGTAGGCTTTTTTTTTTTGTTTTTTGTTTTCTCTTTTTCAAACAGCAACAGCCAACACTGTTATTAAATAAACTATTAATGTATCTTTATAGACTCTCTTGGTGCTTTTTAGACTGCATTTGCTTCTAACTTCAAGTACACCCCCATAAGTAAGGCTGACTTTATGAAGAGGCTGGTGCTGGTTTGCTTTTAGTATTACTTATTATTGGATTCAATACTGAATGAATAAAGAGATCTAGGGAGTATCCTAAGAGTCACATGGGAGTTGAGCTCTATGGCTCTTGGCACCTTAATTGCATTTTCTTTTCATTATTTTGATATTAGCTTATTGCTTTAACATACTCTTTATTTTTTTGTTTAAAGAACTAAGTGTTAACGAAGGCATAGGAGATGAGTATTTGATAATTAGCCAAGTTTGATATCATATTTAACTAGCTAGTTCCTAGACAAATATATGATATTCTTCTTTTTACAATTAGACTATGTGAACATTAATAACTGAATGGGTTGGCTATGATTTTTTTTTAATGTTGTTAACATGCTTGGGAAAGTTGTAGAATTTACTTGAACTTGGTGTGTTAAATAAAGTCCTGGTTTTCTGAATCCAAAACCAAACATGTTAGTTACTCTTAACCCAGGGCTATAGGAGAAGCCAGTGATTCTAGACCCACATTTCTCCTCTTTGAAAACTAGAAACTCCTCCATCAGGGCAAGACCCCCAAAAAGCTGCAGGTGGCAGTTCAGCTGACTGCTTGTAGGGGCACCCCACCTTTGTCCTTCTCAGTCTCCTTCCCCACCACAGACACTGTGCCATCTTGGAAATGCGAACCATGCTGTAGTAGGTTTGCAATGAGATGTTGCCTTTTCAGAGCTTGATACCTCCCTCCTGATTCTTTCTAGTTCAGCTCTTAGGTCTCGTGGGTCTCAGAGATGGGGCAACAGCTGTTATCATCAGACCTGGTCACCAGGGAGGGGTGTGCTCATTTCCAGCAACGTAGTTAAAAGGCTGGAAAAAAACTCTAGTTCAGCCTCTTGGCAGCTATGTGATAGGGCAAGTTCCCTAACTTCTCAGAGACTCAGTTTTCTTCTCCATAAAATAATGATACTCCACTCCATCAGGCTGTTGATTAAATGAGACAGTGCTTGTGGGAATCCTTAATAGAGTGCTGGGCAGTAATTAGCATATACTCAATGAATGATCATAAGTTTTCTTTAAATATGCTCAAAGATGATATGGAAAATTCTACTCTACCCCCTCTGGTTATTTGTCACATGAGATTGTAGTTTTTAAAGAAGATGGTTCCAAAAATCTTTGGGAGAAAAAATTCTCTACCCTACTCCCAGAAAACTAGAAAGAACTTTTAAAAAGTTGTAATAAAATTCACTTTTTTAACTATCTTCAAATGTACAATTCAGTGACATTTAGTACATCCACAATGTTGTGCACCCATCACTATCTAGTTCCAGAGCATTCTTTTTTTTCAAACAGTCTCTCGTTCTGTCACCCAGGCTGGAGTGCAGTGGCGTGATTTTGGCTCAGTGCAGCCTCCACCTCCCGGGTTCAAGTGATTCTCCTGCCTCAGCCTCCTGAGCAGCTGGGATTAGAAGGGGCCCACCACCACACCCAGCTAGTTTTTGTATTTTCAGTAGAGACAGATTTTGCCATGTTGGCCAGGCTGGTTTCAAACTCCTGACCTCAGGTAATCCACCCACCTTGGCCTCCCAAAGCGTTGGGATTATAGGCATGAGTCACTGAGCCTGGCCTAGTTCCAGAACATTCTTATCACACCAGAAAGAAACTCTGTAGCCATTAAGCAGTTGCCCTATTCTCCCCCAGTCACCACTAATTATTGGCCTTCCGTCTCTGGATTTGCCAACTCCGGATATTTCATATGGAAACATACGATGTTTGTTTTTTGTGTGTCTGGGTTCTTTGACTTAGTCTAATGTTGTCAAGGTTCATTGATGTTATAGCATGTATCATTAATTCCTTTTAATATCTGAATAATATTCCATTGTATGTATACACCAGATTTTGTTCATCCATTCATCAGTTGATGGACATTTGGGTTCTTTCCATCTTTAACTATTATGAATAACATTGCTGTGCACATTGGTCTATAGCTTTTTGTTTGAGTACCTGTTTTCAGTTCTTTTGGATCCATACCTAGGATTGGAATTACTGGATCATATGATAATTCTGTGTTTAAATTTTTGAGAAATAGAATAGCTACCAAACTGTTTTCCACCGTGGCTGTGTCATTTTACATTTCCACCAGCAATGTCTGAGGGTTCCAATTTCTCTACACTCTAACACTAGTTATTTCCCATTAAAAAATTATTATAGCTATCATAATGGATGTGAAGTGGTGTCTTACTGTGTTTTAAGATTTTTTATAGTAGTAATTTTGTATGTGTCTGGACTCAAATTTCTCTATTAATGTTCTTAAGCCTCCCATATTGCAAAGCTACATGAGAAATATCCTATACAAAATTCCCAATAAGAAAATGGCGTAGAGCTTCTTTTCCTTCTTAGCCCCTGCTATAGCTAAACATTGTGGATGTGTAATCAATCTCTAGTATGTTTAAACTACTTGCAGATGATTTGTGGCAAATTAGAGATGATATCTGATGCCTCTGACCTTCTCTCTAATTTCTGTTTTTTAGGTTTTAGGGTTTCCTTTTGGTCACCCAAAATGCTTTTTAAACACATTGGATAAGAGCTGAACCACCTGCCTCTCCATACTCTCAGCTCCCTTGTCAGACGGAATTTTGACTGTCTCGAGGCCAAGTGACATGCTGCCCATGATGAGTGATGAGAAGAACCTTGGTGTGTCCCAAAAATTGGTATCACCCTCAAGGAGCACAAGTAGCTGTTCTTCCAAGCAAGGAAGTAGACAGGTAAAGTTTAGCTCATGCAAATTTTAATATGCAAATTTAAGCCATCAAGTTTGCTGGCTAAAATGCACACATTTACTTGGGAACTCCTACTTCTCAGTTTAAGAGCATTTGCTTTTGGTTATATCTTGACTGTATGAGGAGAGTAAATTCTGTATAATTTTAAGAATGTAGCTTGAGTGCCTACCAGGTGGGAAGTACTGCATTTGATTCTTCGTATAATTTTATTTAATTCTTGCAGCAGCTCCCCAGTGTCTATATTAACATCTCCATTTTTTCCATGAGGAAGCTGACTCAGACTGACCAGGTTACTTGCCCAAGGACACACAGCTAGTAAGCAGCAGAGCAAGAACTAAAGCTGTCTGTTTGGCTTCAGAGCCCACACTTTCCTTTATATCCTGCTAACCAAAACAAAAAAACAGTCAATCGTTTTTTCCAGTAATTATAATATCCATCCTGACTTCCTTCCCTTTATCAAACCTTTTATGGCAGCTTGTAACCACAGATTGTTAGTAGCTTGGAGTCTTACCTGCTTTATGTCTGTAATGGATGAGGGAAACTAATCTACAGAAAAATGGTCTAAAGAAATTAAGTAGGAGGGAGAAAGAACTGAAACAAAGGATTGAATAATTAACTCCTAGATAACCGTTGGTTAATTATATATTGTTTCTTGGTTTCCTTTCTAATAAATCTTTGTTGGCAGAATTTGCTGGTTTTAGATCAGTGGCAGTAAATGCGCATTAATCATTATAATTCTTCCTCCAGCAGTTAGGTGGAGAGAGAATGAGCTGTCAGAAAGCTGAATTTATGACCAAAGTGGTCTCTGAACTGAGCCTTTTCAGCACCTGCTGGCTCTGTTGGCATTTCCTTTTCGTCATGGGAAGTGCTGGCCTGAGAAATCACCCAGAGTCTTTGGTTCCAGAATTGGAAGCAACAATTAAGCAACTCCCACCTCAGTCATATCCACACATTTATGACACATCATCAGGGGTCTGTCCATCTGAGCGTTGCCTGGGATAAGGAGCTTTGCCACCCATGAATCTGTGATTCCAGGAAAATTAGATTTTGCCACAGGCCTGACATTTGGGAAGCCCTCCAGCATCTCCCCTGAGGGATTAAGGAGAAGAATTTTGTCAGCACTCTCATCAGTTCCTTCTGAGATTAAAAAAAAGAAAAGACTAAAATTAGTCATTAGCTAATGCATCGTGGCTCCCTGGAGTTCTGTTTTCATGAGGGTCATTATGCTTGTCTTCTTTGTCAGCTTTCCACAGGAGTATTTTTCTCCCTAAGCCAAAATTCTGGTTGGTATTAAGCAGCATGTGGTATATTCCCTACCCACACCATCTTTCTTATACCCAGGGATTGTTAGGTCCTTCTTTGATAAAGGGGGAGAACATGATTCATTTAAATAGCAAGTGGTGATTACACCATAGGAATTGGAAAAGTACAATGAAATTCTCAGATCAAATACTACAGAAACTGTTTTTAGGGTGTTATTTTGAATCCATTTGGTTTTCACAAAGCTTTTTTGGAGGTTATATCATAAAGGGTAAGCAGAATGTGCTTGGTCCCTCAACTTATTTCTGACTTGAAATGCTTGGTCAATCAGCCACTCATTCATCAAATGGTCATTTTTTTTATATTTAGGGTCTCCCACTTTAATATGCATATAATGTGGCTTTATAAATGGAAACACATTTCCTCTGTGGCAGACAGAAAAGGTAGAGAATTTAATAAGCGTATTTCAACTTCAGCCTGAAGTTACTTAAAAAGCCCACATTTGATTTCCAGAGGTCGTTTTCTTGGTCCATCTGCTTTCTCAACCTTCTGTCGAAGAAAGGTGTTCTGTGCCAGGGTATGCTTAGGGATTCCATCCACATGGTCCACCTTGACTACCCATACCCCTTTTGCCTTTGCAAACTGGCCCAAGATTGTGCTTCAGTCTTTAAAGTGCCGCAGAGGTGCAGGAACTTTTGAAGCTCCCTCACTTAGGGTACACAGCCATCTCTGATGGTCTGTTGGCTGCTAAATATAAGGATGAAGCTGTGTTTCCAGTCACGTCACTGAATAGTAAAAGTTAAATACTTAAAACGTCAAGATTTTCATAGTAAGCAATTTAATTAGAGTAATATGAAAATATATCTGAAGATAATCTGTGCAAATACCTAATTGTATTTCGAACACCAGTTTAAAGTTATTTTGAAATTGCTCTCTTCCTTTCATCTGGAGGGAATATATCTGATGTTGATTTTATTGGTCATTTTTCTTAGTGCTAGCTTTTCTCATGTGCTCTGGAATTGCGGCTCAGAGCTTCATCTAGAGATGGTTTCTCATGTGTTCTTTCTCTGTACTCACCCTGACCTGTCTAGGCATTTGCTGTTGCCAACTTCCTACCTTCCAGGTCCCCAGTGCAGAGTCAAGTCTAATATTTCAGTGCAGAGTCAAGTCTAATATTTCTGTTCCATGATGATGATGGAATATCTGGGACCCAGCACCAGGCCCCAGACAGCATAGCCCAGTGCCTGACTCTGAGGCTATGTCTCCCTCCTCCCCTCTCCCTGCAGAATTTTTTTTCTTTTTTTTAAAATATATATTTTATTGCATTTTAGGTTTTGGGGATACATGTGAAGAACATGTAAGATTGCTGCATAGGTGCATACATGGCAATGTGGTTTGCTGCCTTTCTCCTCATCATCTATATCTGGTACTTCTCGTCATGTTATCCTTCTTCAACTCCCCACCCCACACTATCTCTCCCCTAGTTCTCCCCCATAGACCCCAGTGTGTGATGCTCCCCTCCCTGTGTCCATGGGTTCTCATTGTTCAACACCCGCCTGTGAGTGAGAACCATGCGGTGTTTGATTTTCTGTTCTTGCGTCAGTTTCCTGAGAATGATGATTTCCAGGTTTATCCATGTCCCTACAAAGGACATGAACTCGTCATTTTTGATTGCTGCATAATATTCCATGGTGTATATGTGCCACATTTTCCCAGTCCAGTCTATCATCGATGGGCATTTGGGTTCGTTCCAGGTCTTTGCTATTGTAAACAGTGCTGCAATGAACATTCATGTACATGTGTCCTTATAATAGCATGATTTATAATCCTTTGGATATATACCCAGTAATGGGATTGCTGGGTCAAATGGAATTTCTATTTCTAAGGCCTTGAGGAATCGCCACACTGTCTTCCACAATGGTTGAACTAATTTACACTCCCACCAACAGTGTAAAAGTGTTCCTATTTCACCACATCCTCTCCAGCATCTGTTGTCTCCAGATTTTTTAATGACCACCATTCTAACTGGAATGAGATGGTATCTCAATGTAGTTTTGATTTGCATTTCTCTAATGACCAGTGATGATGAGCGTTTTTTCCTATGTTTGTTGGCCTCATGTATGTCATCTTTTGTAAAGTGTCTGTTCATGTCCTTCGCCCACTTTTGAATGGGCTTGTTTTTTTCTTGTAAATCTGTTTTAGTTCTTTGTAGATTCTGGATATTAGCCCTTTGTCAGATGGGTAGATTGCAAAAATTTTTTCCCATTCTGTTGGTTGCCGATTCACTCTAATGACTCTTTCTTTTGCTGTGCAGAAGCTCTGAAGTTTAATTAGGTCCCATTTGTCTATTTTGGCTTTTGTTGCCAGTGCTTTTGGTGTTTTAGTCATGAAGTTCTTGCCTATGCCTGTGTCCTCCTGGCACAGTTTTAAAGGTTTCTTTCATTGCGATGTGACGGCTTCCTTCTCCACAGTTTCAGATTTCCAACAGTGAGTCTGGTCTAGGTTCTAGCCTTTTCCTGATGAGACTTTTCACCCCATTAGCCCACAGAAATAGGCCAATGGACACCTCTATCTACAGTATACTTTACATTTCTCTTTGGGTCTGATCCATGAAGATACTAATCTTTTTTTGCCACATTATTCATTTTTTTTTCAGATTTGTTGAGGTAATAAATGACAAACGAAAGTTGTATATATTTATGGTATATAATGTGATGTTTCGATATATGTATGCATTGGGAAGTGATTACCCATTATCAAGCTAATTAACATACCTGTCACCCCCCCATAGTTATCTTTTTGTGCATGTGTGGTAAGAACATTTAAGATTTACTCCTATAGCCAATTTCAAGTATATAATGCAGTTGTATTAACTACAGTCACCATGCTGTTACATTAGATCTCCAGAACTTATCAGTCCCTGGTAATGACCATTCTACCCTCTGTTTCTAGAAGTTTGACTTTTTTTAGATTCCACATGTAAGTGAAATCATGCAGTATTTTTCTTTCTGGGCTTGGTTTATTTCACTTAGCATAATGTCCTCCAGGTTCATCCATGTGATTGCAAATGACAATATTTCTTTCTTTTTAAAGGCTGAATAGTAGTTCACTACATAAGTGTATGTACCACATTTTTCTTTGGAAATATTTCATCTTGTTTTTTATCACACAGACACAGAAGAGCCCTATGTGTTTATAACTTTGTGTATTTTTGCCATATTTGGAATGAGGGTAGCATTTTGTATATTTTTGCCTTATTTGGTATGAGAGTGGCAATAGGAAAGGACACTAAATGCATGAACTTGAAATGCCATCTTAGCTGGAATACATAGTTTTCTTAAGTCCTTTTTACTTAAATTCTTATCCAATATTGCCAAGTGACCTTGAGAGTCTCTGTATTCCAGCCACACTGGCTTTCTTTCACTTTCTGGAACTGAACTTAAATTTGAACCTGGTCTTCCTATCTCAGACCTGTTCATATAAAATCTCAAGGAGCTATGCGTGTATGTATAGATACTCCCCTGCCTATATATCTTTGTTAAAAGAGCTTGCTTCCTTGAAGGAGAAAATGATTGAGACCAAGGTGTTAATTACAATCTGTGTTTTCATTTTCACAACTGACCTAAGACAAAATGTACAACTTAGTGCCATGAAAACCCTAGGAGGAGGGCTCTAACATTTTTTGACTTAAATACTGGGGCTCCTTAGATTTTAAAAACATGCCT